GCTGAAGCACCCCCTCATCACCATTACCCACCAGCTAAAGCACCCTCTCATCACCATCACCCACCTGCTGAAGCACCCTCTCATCACCGCCACCATCACCACCACCACCAACACCACCACCACCCACCGGCTGAAGCACCCTCACACCACCACGGACATCATCATGGTCACCCAACAAGCCATCACGGCCCATACCCACCACCAAAGCACATACCTCCAGTTCACCCTCCCAAGCCCGCAACTCCAGTTTACAATGCTCCACCAAAGTATGCACCAGTTCACCCACCAGTTCACCCACCAGCTCACCCACCAACCCATCCATTCCCTAGGGCTCTTGCAGAAGTTCAGCTTAACTCAGCACCCCCACCAAGCCATCCACTCATGAGTGCTGCTGTTGCAGTTCAAGGCATGGTTTACACCAAGTCTTGCAAGTATCGTGGAGTTGATACTCTGTGGGGCGCTTCAATCGCTCCCGGTCAGTCAAAAAATCTCAATAATCTAGCTAGCTAGCTAACTTAAAATAGTTCATTTTTACTTCAAATTTTTACAATTATTTTTTCAATTAACCAAAAAATTGTTCAGTGTGCAATAATATATGCTTAATTAACATTATCATGCGCAAGTGTTGAGGATTTGTATGTAAACACTTGACACATGCATGCTACAATCTCATCATGCATGGCACATTTTGCTACCATAACCATGCTAATTATGGAACTGTTAAGAATTAGCAACCCATAACTTGAGTTCTGTCACCCTCATAATTAATCATGCATGTCTACATACGTACAAGTTCATCACCATGCATGAATTAATAGATGATCATGAAGCATTTTTCTTTTCCCACCAAACCCCATTTTCTGTTTCTTACACTGTTCAATTCCAACAGGTGCCACTGTCAAACTACAGTGCAATTTCACCAAGAATCCACTAGAGGTCGAGTTCAAAACGGACGAAAACGGTTACTTCTTCCAAAAAGCACCCAATACCGTCAACATCTTTAACGCACACAACTGCAAGGCGTTCCTCGTACGATTTCCGTGGCCTAAAAGCAGCGAACCGTCTAATCTCAACGGTGGAGTGTCTGGCGCCGAGTTGAAGTTTGACAAGGTTTTCTTTGACAACCGCTGGACGACTTACTTCCTCTACTCCGTTGGCCCATTTGCCTATGAACCCAAATGTCACTAGATTTGTCACACACCATGTTTAATTTAATATGTTTCACAGATTTGATGTTGTTCTAAGCTATGTTAATTGAATTCCCTAGTGTGTTTGAATAATGTCAGTGTTTGTTACTGTACTTCAGAGAAATTTCTTTGACATATAGAAATAAATGAGTATTTTAATACTTATAGTACGTTTAATTTGAAAGGAGGGGAGGGGTGAAAATGGTTTTATTTGATTAACAAAAAATTTAGAAAAGAAAGAAGTTTTTTATTTTATTTTTTCAAATAAAAAAAAAAATCAAATCCTTTAATTTCTCTCTAGTCCCCTCCCATTCTCTTCATTTTCCTCAAATCAAACGTGTTGATAAGGCTTCAACTTCCAGCCTTTAACTTTAGAAAACTGTTTTTTTCCTTTACAGAGAGCCCAGTAAAGAGTAATGAGCTCATTCTACCTTTCGGCCCACTTATTGAAGCTTGTTGGGTTCAACTGGGCCAGAGGCTTGTGAACTTCATTTAGATTTTTCGCTTGCTCGTCTGTTCGCGTTGAATCAGATTCACATCAGTCTAAGCCCATGATGACCACTCATTCAATTCTTTCGATGAGTCCGTATATTTTACCATAACTGTTAAATTAAGCAGAAAAAACTTGGTTTTTCTTACAAAAAATTTTAAATTTAAATTTTATGAATAAAAAAAATAAGTATTGAAAGAGTTTTTTTTTTATGGATCCAAGCTGATTCAATTTTATATTAATCGAAACTCAATATAATTACTGAATATCAAGAAATTAATACAAAAAAAAAAGCCTACATGTTTTCGGCTCAAGTTGATTGAGTCCGTTATAAAAATAAGCCTATTATGATAACCGATTTCCTGAAGCTGAACCTGTGGTTGGAGTTATCCTCAATCCTTGA